TCACTCGCTCGTGATCAATAACCCCCCAATCACTCGCTCGTGATCAATAACCCCCCCAATCACTCGCTCGTGATCAATAACCCCCCCAATCACTCGCTCGTGATCAATAACCCCCCAATCACTCGCTCGTGATCAATAACCCCCCCAATCACTCGCTCGTGATCAATAACCCCCCCAATCACTCGTGATCAATAACCCCCCCAATCACTCGTGATCGATAACCCCCCAATCACTCGTGATCAATAACCCCCCCAATCACTCGTGATCAATAACCCCCCCAATCACTCGCTCGTGATCAATAACCCCCCCAATCACTCGCTCGTGATCAATAACCCCCCCAATCACTCGCTCGTGATCAATAACCCCCCCAATCACTCCTCGTCGATCAATAACCCCCCAATCACTCTCTCGTGATCAATAACCCCCCCAATCACTCGCTCGTGATCAATAACCCCCCCAATCACTCGCTCGTGATCAATAACCCCCCCAATCACTCGCTCGTGATCAATAACCCCCCCAATCACTCGCTCGTGATCAATAGCCCCCCAATCACTCGCTCGTGATCAATAACCCCCCAATCACTCGTGTCAATAACCCCCCAATCACTCGTGATCAATAACCCCCCAATCACTCGTGATCATAACCCCCCAATCACTCGTGATCAATAACCCCCCAATCACTCGTGATCAATAACCCCCCAATCACTCGTGATCAATAACCCCCCCAATCACTCGTGATCAATAACCCCCCCAATCACTCGCTCGTGATCAATAACCCCCCAATCACTCCTCGTGATCAATAACCCCCCAATCACTCGCTCGTGATCAATAACCCCCCAATCACTCCTCGTGATCAATAACCCCCCCAATCACTCGCTCGTGATCAATAACCCCCCAATCACTCGCTCGTGATCAATAACCCCCCCAATCACTCGCTCGTGATCAATAACCCCCCCAATCACTCGCTCGTGATCAATAACCCCCCAATCACTCGCTCGTGATCAATAACCCCCCCATCACTCGCTCGTGATCAATAACCCCCCACTCACTCGCTCGTGATCAATAACCCCCCAATCACTCGCTCGTGATCAATAACCCCCCAATCACTCGCTCGTGATCAATAACCCCCCCAATCACTCGCTCGTGATCAATAACCCCCCCAATCACTCGCTCGTGATCGATAACCCCCCAATCACTCGTGATCAATAACCCCCCCAATCACTCGTGATCAATAACCCCCCCAATCACTCGTGATCAATAACCCCCCAATCACTCGCTCGTGATCAATAACCCCCCCAATCACTCGCTCGTGATCAATAACCCCCCCAATCACTCCCTCGTGATCAATAACCCCCCAATCACTCGCTCGTGATCAATAACCCCCCAATCACTCCTCGTGATCAATAACCCCCCCAATCACTCGCTCGTGATCATAACCCCCCCAATCACTCGCTCGTGATCAATAACCCCCCCAATCACTCGCTCGTGATCAATAACCCCCCCAATCACTCCTCGTGATCAATAACCCCCCCAATCACTCGCTCGTGATCAATAACCCCCCCAATCACTCGCTCGTGATCAATAACCCCCCAATCACTCGCTCGTGATCAATAACCCCCCAATCACTCGCTCGTGATCAATAACCCCCCCAATCACTCGCTCGTGATCAATAACCCCCCAATCACTCGCTCGTGATCAATAACCCCCCCAATCACTCGCTCGTGATCAATAACCCCCCCAATCACCTCTCGTGATCAATAACCCCCCCAATCACTTGCTCGTGAATCAATACCCCCCCCAATCACTCGCTCGGTGATCAATAACCCCCCCAATACGTCCCTCCGTGATCAATAACCCCCCCAATCACTCGCGTCGTGATCAATAACCACCCCCCCAGATCACTCGCTCAGTGATCAATCATACTCCCCAAATCACTCGCGATCGTGATCAATACACCCCCAATCAACTCGTCTTCGTGATCAATAACCCCCCCAATCATCGCATCCGTGATTCAATAACCCCCCCAATCACTCGCCTCGTGATCAATAACCCCCCCAAATCACCCCGTCGTGATTCAATAACCTCCCCAATCACTCGCATCGTGGATCAATAACCCCCCCCATCACTCGCTCTTGATCAATAATACTACCCCCAATCACTCGCGCTCGTGATCAATAACCCCCAAATCACTCGCTCGTGATCAATACCCCCCCAATCACGTCGGCTCGGGATCAATAACCCCCGCCAATCACCGTCGCTCGTGAATCAAATAATCCTCCATCATCGCTCGTGATCAATACCCCCCAAGTCACTCGCGATCCGGTGGATCAATAAGACCGCCCCCAATCACTCGCTCGTGATCAATAACCCCCCAATCACTCGCTCGTGATCAATAACCCCCCCTCACTCGCTCGTGATCAATAACCCCCCCAATCACTCGCTCGTGATCAATAACCCCCCCAATCACTCCTCGTGATCAATAACCCCCCAATCCCTCGTGATCAATAACCCCCCCATCACTCGCTCGTGATCAATAACCCCCCCAATCACAGAAATGCCAAACCCTCCCACGGACGGACGGACGGACGGACGGACGGACCATTAATCTATTGGTGGTCTGGTCCACTTCGTTCCTACCAGTATAACCCCCCCCACTCCCCACTCCCCCACCCCATCACTCCCTCACCACTCCCCACCACTCTCCCGCCACTCCCCCCCCCCCCCACTCCCCCCCACCCCCCACTCCCCCCCACTCCCCCCCACCCCCCACTCCCCCCCCCCACCCCATCACTCCTCCCCCACTCCCCCACTCCCCCCATCCCCCACCCTCCTCCCTCCCACCCCCCACTCCCCCCCACCCCCCCACTCCCCCCCCCCCACCACCAACCGCCGCCATTGGCCACTGAGTGACGGTGACGTCACCACGGCGCCTGTGCCAGGCTGGGTGCACTTCGAGGCTGCCGCGTGAAGTGTCGACGGCTCGACACTGAGGTGGTGACGTCACGCGAGCGTTGTGTTTAACGATTTAACCACGTGACGATATTACGATATTAGCGTAAAAATATGAGCATTAGCTGAAGTGATGTGAATACGTTCGGATTACCTCAAGTAATGTTACATTTACCTGAGGTGATGTTACCTCGCCTGAGGTAAAGTTACCTCGCCTTCCATTGCATTTCGATTACCTTACCCTGAGGTAATAATCACGCGATAATTGTGTTTAACGATTTAACTACGTGAGAATATTACGATAGGGTCATTAGCTGAAGTGATGTGAATACGTTAGGATAACATCAAGTAATGTTACATTTACCCGAGGTAAATTTACCTCACTTAAGGTAACATTACCTCGCCTGAGGTAAAGATACCTCACCTGAGGTGAAATTAACTAACCTGGGGTAATGTTTCCTCTACCCTGAGGAAGTAATGTTACCTCAGGTGAGGTAAAGTTACCTCTACCTGAAGTAACGTTACCTCACCTAAGGTAAAGTTATCTCACTTGAGGTAATGATACCTCAGGTGAGGTAAAGTTACCTCTACCTGAAGTAATTTTACTTCACCTAAGGTAACGTTACCTCGCATGAGGTAACGTTACCTCGACCTGAGGTTACTAAGGGCACCACGGGGTGACCAGCTCCTCCCCTCCCCTCCCCACCCAGCCCCTCCCTCCCCACCCCCCCCACCCAGCCCCTCCCTCCCCCCCACCCAGCCCCTCCCTCCCTACCCATCCCCCCACCCAGCCCCACCCTCCCCACCCAGCCCCACCCCGCCCCACCTTCCCCACCCAGCCCCTCCCTCCCCACCCAGCCCCACCCTCCCCACCCAGCCCCTCCCTCCCCACCCAGCCCCACCCCACCCTCCCCACCCAGCCCCACCCTCCCCACCCAGCCCCTCCCTCCCCACCCAGCCCCACCCCACCATCCCCACCCAGCCCCTCCCTCCCCACCCAGCCCCTCCTTGCACGACGCACGGACGGACACAATAATCCCCTGTGGGCTGGTGTAACCAGGAGGTTCCTACCAGTAGTCAAGTGAGGATTCTATCTCACGCGAATTTTAAATCGTGTAAGATTTACGCTACGAGACGACTTCACGTTACGATTACAGCTACACATCTCGTACAGTGTTGACATGAGCGACTAATTAATTGTACAAGATTTACTTTGCACTGAATGAGAATGTCGCGGTGAAGATTACCTTATAATATAACGTGATTTGATACGGATTGCATCACATTCTGATTACCTTACCCTCAGTGCCGGATAAAGTTAGTTCGGGGCCTGTAGCATGTGCTAGAAAGGGGCCCAATTATTATTTTTTAAAGGTAAACATTAAAACACACATTTTTTACTTGCACAGTAAAGTATTTGTATTTTTTCAATTGCTATACAGCCGGATAATACGAATAATCGCTAACCTTAAACACCCAGTCGTTCATAAAAAAAAGTTGAAGGCGGTATAGTACTATAGTAATAGAGCAAGTGCAGAATCAATTAACCCGAATTGATATCTTGAAAGCATTTAGCGCGGGGCCCTTGAAAGTGCGGGGCCCGTAGCATTTGTAGCAACTTTTGCGACTCCGATAATTATAAACCCCCCCCCACCCCATTACACCCCTTACCCCCCACTCCCCGCCACTTCCCCCACCACTCCCCCTACCCCCTCGTCCCCCCCACTCACCCCCACCCCTCCTCCCCCCCCCACTCCCCTCCCACCACCGCCAATCGCCGCCATTGGCCACTGAGTGACGGTGACGTCACCACGGCGCCTGTGCCAGGCTGGGTGCACTTCGAGGCTGCCGCGTGAAGTGTCGACGGCTCGACACTGAGGTGGTGACGTCACGCGAGCGTTGTGTTTAACGATTTAACCACGTGACGATATTACGATATTAGCGTAAAAATATGAGCATTAGCTGAAGTGATGTGAATACGTTCGGATTACCTCAAGTAATGTTACATTTACCTAAGGTGATGTTACCTCATCTGAGGTGATGTTACCTCAGGTGAGGTAATGTTACCTTAGCTGACGTAATTTTACCTCGACCTAACGTTATATTACCTCACGTGAGGTAAAGTTACCTCGCCTTCCGACAGTCTGTTAAGGCCACACGGGGGATCTTAGTCTCGTATCCCTGTGACTCTGTCTCCGTGTGACTCTGTCTCCCTGTGACTCTGTCTCCGTGTGACTCTGTCTCCCTGTGACTCTGTCTCCGTGTGACTCTGTCTCCCTGTGACTCTGTCTCCCTGTGACTCTGTCTCCGTGTGACTCTGTCTCCCTGTGACTCTGTCTCCGTGTGACTCTGTCTCCGTGTGACTCTGTCTCCCTGTGACTCTGTCTCCCTGTGACTCTGTCTCCCTGTGACTCTGTCTCCCTGTGACTCTGTCTCCCTGTGACTCTGTCTCCCTGTGACTCTGTCTCCGTGTGACTCTGTCTCCCTGTGACTCTGTCTCCCTGTGACTCTGTCTCCGTGTGACTCTGTCTCCCTGTGACTCTGTCTCCGTGTGACTCTGTCTCCCTGTGACTCTGTCTCCCTGTGACTCTGTCTCCGTGTGACTCTGTCTCCCTGTGACTCTGTCTCCGTGTGACTCTGTCTCCCTGTGACTCTGTCTCCGTGTGACTCTGTCTCCCTGTGACTCTGTCTCCGTGTGACTCTGTCTCCGTGTGACTCTGTCTCCGTGTGACTCTGTCTCCCTGTGACTCTGTCTCCCTGTGACTCTGTCTCAGTGTGACTCTGTCTCCCTGTGACTCTGTCTCCCTGTGACTGTCTCAGTGTGACTCTGTCTCCCTGTGACTTTGTCTCAGTGTGACTCTGTCTCCGTGTGACTCTGTCTCCCTGTGACTCTGTCTCAGTGTGACTCTGTCTCCCTGTGACTTTGTCTCAGTGTGACTCTGTCTCCCTGTGACTCTGTCTCCCTGTGACTCTGTCTCCCTGTGACTCTGTCTCCCTGTGACTCTGTCTCCCTGTGACTCTGTCTCCGTGTGACTCTGTCTCAGTGTGACTCTGTCTCCCTGTGACTGCGTCTGACCGTCGTCCGCGTCTCGTCCCTCCGTGTCTCTGCGCCTCAGCAGCAGCAGGTAGAGGTAACTTTACCTCATCTGAGGTAAAGTTACCTCAGGTGAAGTAAAGTTACTTCTATCTGAGGTAAATTTACCTCACCTGAGGTAAAGTTATCTCATCTGAGGTAAATTTACCTCACCTGAGGTAAAGTTATCTCATCTGAGGTAAATTTACCTCACCTGAGGTAAAGTTATCTCATCTGAGGTAAATTTACCTCACCTGAGGTAAAGTTATCTCATCTGAGGTAAATTTACCTCTCTCTGAGGTAAGGTTATTTCACCTGAGGTAAAGTTTCCTCCCCTGAAGTAAAGTTATTTCACCTGAAGTAAAGTTACCTCCCCTGAGGTAAAGTTACCTCTACCTGAGATAAAGTTATCCGTGTGACTCCATCTCCGTGACTGCGTCTGACCGTCGTCCGCGTCTCGTCCCTCCGTGTCTCTGCGCCTCAGCAGCAGCAGCAGCAGGAGATGGGCGACTTCCGAGACATCAGAGGCTTCTTCACCAAGGCCGAGTGGAGCGATCTGGCCGAGTGCGAGAAGCGGCGCTACAGGAACATCAAGCAGAACCACGCCGTCCTGCTGAACCTCGGTGGGTACGGCAGGCCGAGCCTCTTCGCAACTCAACTAATTGTCGCAGTGATTATAATGATGAGACCAAGACGTCGTAGCAGAGTGGCATGCATGGGGCGCCATGGTGGCGAGATGTTAACTAACTCGCCTGGTCTACATGAGGTCGTGGGTTCGATCCCGACCCTGACGATGCCTGTCATATATCTGGAGTCTGCGTGTGTCTCTTCCCGGTGAGATGTTAACTCCCTCTCCTGGTCTACAGGAGGTCTTGGGTTCGTTCCCGACCCTGACGATGCCTGTCATATATCTGGAGTCTGCGTGTGTCTCTTCCCGGTGAGATGTTAACTACCTCGCCTGGTCTAGAGGAGGTCGTGGGTTCGATGGCGACCCTGACGATGCCTGTCATATATCTGGAGTCTGCGTGTGTCTCTTCCCGGTGAGATATTAACTACCTCGCCTGGTCTACAGGAGGTCGTGGGTTCGATGGCGACCCTGACGATGCCTGTCATATATCTGGAGTCTGCGTGTGTCTCTCCCCGGTGAGATGTTAACTACCTCTCATGGTCTACAGGAGGTCGTGGGTTAGATCCCGGTCCTCCGGGTTTTTGCTCCACTTGTAGAATCAACATCACGCGTTTAGAGTATTTGTCTGCTGCTATAAATGTCCACGTGGTAAGCCACTTGGTTGAGCTGTCATTTGTGGCAGCCAGGTCGCTTCTGAAGAAGGAGCCAATATCTCAGTGGACTTCACCTGTGAAGTAAAAATAGATTTAGTTTTAGTTTAATGATTTGTTTACCTTTACTCTACTTTGCACGCCTATCGTGTTTGTGTTTTGTGTTGTAACTTTCTGACCCCGTGCCCCCTATGGGACATCTATGAAAAAGAGCTTCATAGCTCATCGGATTCATAATTCTAGTCACGTAGGTAAAAAATAAAATTAAAATTAATCAAAGTAAAATTAAAATTTATAAAAGTACTTTTATTAATTTAAATTTTATTTTTTACCTACGGATTCATAATGTTGGAGAGTAAACCCACAACATTTACAAAAATAGTTTATTTTGACTTAAAACTTTCGTGACTGCAGGAATTCATATTCTTTGGTTCTTTCGATAAAGTGACGTAGATAGAAAAACTAAAATAAAAATAAAGTGAATAGTAAAAATGATAAAGCACTCATGTATAATCAAAACTTTAGAGTTATAAATTAGTCTTCTTGGTTCTTTCGGTAAAGTCACATAGAAGGGAAAAAAAACATAAAATACAATTATTAAAATACAATTTTAATGTTTTCTTTTTAATATTTTATTATTTCCCTTCTACGTGACTTTACCGAAAGAACCAAGAAGATGAATCCCTGCAGTCACGAAAGCTTTAAATTGAAATGTATACATTAGTGTTTTTTTTTATGGAGCAGTCTAATTAGTGTCTTATTTTTATAATTTTTTATTCACTTAATTTGTATCATTTGAACTGCCTCTATTGGGAGGGTTTCCACATAACCATGAGATCTTTTAACAATCTCCGTGACAAGAAAGTTCATCTGATCGAGTCACTCACATTTCTGAAGAGATGCCGTGACTCTAACGTAATACCGATCTCATTGACACTGATTTCTGCTGCAGTCACATCTTCCAATGCCAGACGAATTTTGTTCAGGGCGAGCTTGGCCCTGATCTCAGGGAGAATTAGACTGCTCCATACTGAACTAGATCATGTAGACAAGACACTCTTGAAATCACACTTAACATTGACGGGAAAAATGTCTACATCTGATTGGGAACATGTAGATAACATGACCACTTAATCAGCCACTACAATGTCAGCGAAATGTAAAGATCTGATTTTCGAGTTCAACCTCCTTTCTAACAAGAAACCAGATCCACACGTTAAAAGGTTAGACGTTGACAAGGTTGTTATTAATCTGAGTAATAGCCCAATGTGCGATGGTCTAAAGTCGGTTTTGGCTAAAGGGTTGAACTTCTCAGTCACCCCCAAACACATTCCAGTGGATGACGTTATTGCCCAGGTCGATGTCGCTCTTAAGGGTTTGGGGCGCATCGCTGCAGACGTTACAAGATCTTAAATTGCTGCAACCCTCAAAAGCGCTAAGATACCAGTCAGCAACATCAGTGAGGATGAACGTTTTTGTGGTTTTTGATTATTTTTATTCACTTTATTTTTCTATCTACGTGACTTTGCCGAAAGAACCAAAGAATATTTACAAAAAAATGTATTTTGTTTGTGTGTAATTTGTTTACCTTTTCTATACTTTGCACTCCTATCGTGTTTACTGTATTGCTTGGGGTTATTGTAGCAGCCAAATAATATAAATGAACGTAGTAGCGGTACACCGTTGCGCTGTATGAAATAATCATCACATTTTTGGCAAAAGTTATTTATTTCCTCGCGATTCGAGACCCTAGACAGAAGGATATTTTGGGGTGGTGGTGGTGCGTCAAAATCAGTTGTCGTGATGCCAAAGCGGTGGGAAGACGGAACGTGACATGAGCAGCACTGAACACGAAGCTTCGCAGTCTGTTGCCGTACAGCAGCGCCCAGTCTGATGACGATCGGCTGCTCCGTGCTCCAGTGGCAAGATTGGACTCCTCGTGCCCCTAGAGACTCGGTCGGACGGTGCCTCGATACGACTCGTGGTGTCGCCACCGCACGTTCGGAATGGGGGACGCGGCTGCTGAATCTGAGTGCAACTTCTGATGGAGAGTCCTGCAGCTCACTCAAGGGGCAACGGCGACATCGTCGGGACTATGAAAAATAAGAATCGGTTTTACTCTTTATGGGAATGAAACAGGAGGTGTTAAGATGTTCAAACACCAGATAGATTATAGCTTTTGCAAGGAATCAGGTTACTGCATTAACCACGTGTACTGAACACGCAAACAAACACTCTCTGATAACATTTAATCATTGTCTTTGATACTGATTGGTCTACCCCAGAGACAGCCTTCTTCATGGCCTAGTCTCACCAGTGTCAGACCAGAGAACAACACCAAAAGGCGACCAGTACAAAGACAATGCAGTGTCAAGAGCATTTATAGCTCGGGGTGAGTAGCTATATCATTGGACCTTTTTGCCAGAATCAAAGTATAAAAAATAGGAATCGGTTTTACCCTTTCTGGCAATAAAACAGGAGCTGTTAAGATGTTCACACACCAAATAGATGATTCCTTTTTGCAAGGAATCAAGTTACTGCATTAACCACGCGTACTTGTGTTGAACACGCAAACAAACACGCTCTGATAGTAATCACATCGTCAGGACTGTGTTACGAGGACCCGGTGTGTTGCTATTCTGCACGGGTGTACTGCCAATACGTACAAATAACAATGACCGACTGCCTCCTTGCGCAGGGATGAACCCGGCCCAGCCCGAGTTCATGCGCGCACGCGGCAAGCGCAGGGCGAGGGGGAATGGAGCGGAGTGCGGGCGGTCGAGCGACTCCGACGAGGAGTGGACGGGGAGGAGAAAGAGGAAGGAGGTGGCGATGCACGGAGGACGAAGAGGCAAACGTAAAAGGGCGCTTGCAGACCGTGCAGAGACCCCCTGTAGACTCACACAGAGACCCCCTGTAGACTCACACAGAGACCCCCTGTAGACTCACACAGAGGCCCCCTGTATACTCACGCAGAAACCCCCTGAAGACTCACAAAGAGACCCCGTGTAGAATCACACAGAGACCCCTGTAGACTCACACAGAGACCCCTGTAGACTCACACAGAGACCCCTCTCGACTCACGCAGAGACCCCCTGTAGACTCACACAGAGACCCCCTGTAGACTCACGCAGAGACCCCCTGTAGACTCACACAGAGACCCCTGTAGACTCACACAGAGACCCCCTGTAGACTCACACAGAGACCCCCTGTAGACTCACGCAGAGACCCCCTGTAGACTCACGCAGAGACCCCCTGTAGACTCACACAGAGACCTCCTGTAGACTCACGCAGAGACCCCCTGTAGACTCACACAGAGACCCCCTGTAGACTCACACAGACCCCTGTAGACTCACACAGAGACCCCCTGTAGACTCACGCAGAGACCCCTGTAGACTCACACAGAAACCCCCTGTAGACTCACGCAGAGACCCCCTGTAGACTCACACAGAGACCCCTGTAGACTCACACAGACCCCTGTAGACTCACACAGAGACCCCCTGTAGACTCACGCAGAGACCCCTGTAGACTCACACAGAAACCCCCTGTAGACTCACGCAGAGACCCCCTGTAGACTCACACAGAGACCCCTGTAGACTCACGCAGAGACCCCTGTAGACTCACACAGAGACCCCTGTAGACTCACGCAGAGACCCCCTGTAGACTCATGCAGAGATCCCCTGTAGACTCACGCAGAGACCCCCTGTAGACTCACACAGAGACCCCCTGTAGACTCACACAGAGACCCCCTGTAGACTCACGCAGAGACCCCTGTAGACTCACACAGAGACCCCCTGTAGACTCACACAGACCCCTGTAGACTCACACAGAGACCCCCTGTAGACTCACACAGAGACCCCCTGTAGACTCACACAGAAACCCCCTGTAGACTCACACAGAGACCCCCTGTAGACTCACGCAGAGACCCCTGTAGACTCACACAGAAACCCCCTGTAGACTCACACAGAGACCCCCTGTAGACTCACACAGAGACCCCCTGAAGACTCACACAAAGACCCCTGTAGACTCACACAGAGACCCCTGTAGACTCACAGAGACCCCCTGTAGACTCACGCAGAGACCCCTGTAGACTCACACAGAGACCCCCTGTAGACTCACGCAGAGACCCCTGTAGACTCGCTTGATGAAGCTGGTTGTAATCACCAGCGGAACCAAGTTAAATGCCCGCTCACGGCCAACACCAGTGACGACGATCCGAACCGGTCCTGAGCCTCCCCTAGGTTGACTCAGCGTCAAAATGAGTACCCGGTGCAGTGGTGTGTAGTAAACATCACAACCGGGGAGACAAAGACGGTCGGGCGTGTTGCTAGCTGCCCATCCCCCCGTGTGCCGTGCTGGCCTTCGTAGATGCTGCTTGCTGACAGCACTTGACCGCAACAGTCTGTGAAGGCTACACGGGGCATATTTTTAATTGTGGACCGAGTTGGCACAGTCGCGGGCACAGGTGGTGCATCTGGCAGTCATCTAAGTAAACCTATGGCACCTGCAGAGTCCGTCTCGTGACCTGCACCTAGCCTGGCACAACAGTCAACCCATGGCATGGCACCTGGTTCTGTCCTGTGACAACAGTCTGTTAAGGCGGCACAGGGGAGATCATTGACTTTTTGGTAAATATGTGAGTGAGTAAATGTTTGCATGCATAAATACGCGTGTGGGTGTGTTCACACGTGTGTGTGTGTGTGTGTGTTAATGCATTTCCGTGTGTTCACACGTGTGTGCGTGTGTTAACGCGTGTGCATATGGGGAGCGGTAGTGTAGCGGTTAGCGCGCTGCGCTATGAACCCGGCGACCCGGGTTCGATTCCCGCTCACGGTCAACACCAGTGACGATTATTTGAACCGGTCCTGGGCCTCCCCTATGTCGGCTCAGCCTCAACTGAGTACCTGGTGCGGTGTGTAAACATCACCACTGGGGAGACAAAGACGGTCGGGCGTGGTGCTGGCCACCCACCCCCTCGTGTACCGTTCTGGCCTTCATAGGTGCTCACTAACAGCACTTGCCCCTACAGTCTGTTAAGGCTATACGGGGGAGCTTTGTCCTTGCATATGTTCATGCGTGTCCGTGTGTTCACACGTGTGTGCGTGTGTTCACGTGTGTGCGTGTGTTCACGTGTGTGCGTGTGTTCACGCAGGAGGAGGCAAGGGGGCTGCTTCACGCTGGGCCACCGTGGGAGAGTCTCACGCGAGGGCAGCTCCCAGCAAGCGCAAGGTCTCTGTGCACAGCGCACGGCACTCCTCTCGTTACATCTGCTGCTGCTGCTGTTGTCTTTAGTTTGTTGTCCTTCCCCCGCACCTCCCATTAGCGAGGTTGGCTACGTACGGTGACAAAGAAATCCAACGTACATACATACTACTAGACACTGCTATACCAGGGACGTGCAGTCAGGGGAGGCAGGCGAGGCAGAGCCTCACCTGTCATATACTCCAATGAAAATAGCTGTTAGGGGCCGTCCATAAATGACGTCACGTGATTTTTGACGATTTTTGACCCCCTCCCCCCCTCGTCACACAGCGTCACAAAAAGTCAGACCCCCCCTCAAATATGACGTCACAAAGCTCTGCCCCCACCCCCAAAAAAAAAAAACATGCTTCAAATCGCTTTAAACTATTGTCATTGTAGTGCGTATTTAATGTGGCGCTGCACTCTGATGTTGTAGGAGAAAACATTTATTTAAAAGTCGAAATAATTAAGTAGAACGTGTTGTCTATATTTATTTAAAGTTGTGCATTTTGATGTGACGTCCATTTCTCAACCCCCCCCCCCCCTCGTCACACATCGTCACAAACGTCTGACCCCCCCTCCCCCCCAGGTGCGTGACGTCATTTATGGACGGCCCCTTACGAAAGTGAAAAAAATGTTCCACTGATTTGTGTTATAAATGTAATTTCTGTATAATTCCAATCATTACAGACAGATAGTAACAGGCACGCGCTTATTGCCCGCGCTCCATCCAGTTTCTGAGGGGTTGCGCAATCAGAGGGGAGGCTGAGCTTGTCGCTGCCTCACCTCTCGTCTCCCTGTATTTGCAGCGGAGCGCCGCAAATTTGGCGATTTTGACTATCAAAATGGTTGGAATCGTACAGAAATGACGTAACACAGATCAGTGGAAAAATCTAAATTTTTTAATCCTTTATATTAAGTTCACTTGCTTGCTTGCTTGCGCGCTTACGACCGTGCAAATCTTTCGGTCGTTTTTTAACCCACTTCCCGTGATCCAATCGAGCTGACATTTTGCACACAGACTCGTTGCGCGTGACAATTTATTTTCGTGAAAATTTTTTTCCATAACTTTACACTTTTTAGGAATTTTTTTTTATATTTAATTACCAATTGCTTAATGGTGGCAGGCAATCATCTGACCCATAGGTGGCAGCCATCTCAAACCAGAGGACGAGAGGACTCTAGCCGCCATGCATATAAAGGATTTATAGTGAAAAACTTTGTTTTTATGGGTTAACTTTTTACTTTGTACTTTTCGTAACAGCTATTTCCATTGGAGTATAACAGGTGAGGCTGTGCCTCCCCTAACTCGCCTCACCACGGGGAGAGAGAAAAAAAAGACGAAGACTCCAAATATACAGCAGCAGGCGTCAGGGTCAGGATCGAACCCATGACCTCCTGCGTACAAGGAGAGGTTGTTAACATCTCCTAGCCACCATGCCCCCCCTGCATGGCACTCTGGTACAACGTTTGGGCTTATTATTATAATTAGTTTATTAATTAGTTTAGTTGTGAAGAGGCTTGGCCTGCCATACCCACCGAGGTTCAGCATGACGGCATGGTTCTGCTTGATGTATGGAATCAGATTTACAGAATCAGAATATCAGAATTAGAATATGTATTGTACTGGAGGAATCCGATGAGGTGTCAGGCTCGAGATGGAACCCGCGACCTCCTGCGTACCAGGCGAGGGAGTTAACATCTCCTAGCCACCGCTGGTCACCGCACCAACTCCGCCCCCCACACCCCCTCCGCCCCCTCACCCCACCGCCCCCTCCGCTCAGACTAAAGCGGAAGCCCTGGAGTACGTGTGGAGCATCTTGCAGGGCGTGGAGGAGGATGAGCAGCAGCAGGAGGAGGAGTTCAGGGGATTTGAGCTGAGGGAGGTGCACAAGGCCAGGATGGCGATGTTCAGGCTGGAGCGCAGAGCCACCGCCTGCAAGGAGGCCCTGAGGGTGGCGCTCCAGAGGATACGTGGAGGTGCGTAGCTTGCAGCGGTGATTTCTATTCACACCGCAACTCCACGCTCCCCTCTATTCTCACCGGAACTCCACACTCCCCTCTATTCCCACCGGAACTCTACACTCCCCTCTATTCTCACCGGAACTCCACACTCCCCTCTATTCTCACCGGAACTCCACACTCCCCTCTATTCTCACCGGAACTCCACACTCCCCTCTATTCCCACCGGAACTCCACACTCCCTTCTATTCTCACCGGAACTCCACACTCCCCTCTATTCTCACCGGAACTCCACACTCCCCTCTATTCTCCGGAACTCCACACTCCCCTCTATTCTCACCGGAACTCCACACTCCCCTCTATTCTCACCGGAACTCCACACTCCCCTCTATTCTCACCGGAACTCCGCAATCTTCTGTTGCTGCTGATGGAAGTCGCCACTGCTGTTGATGCTACTGCTACATGTGCTCCTGTCAGGGCTGCTGCTGGTACTGATGCAGCCTATGAACTAAACGATGTTTATTTTACCAGGGTAAGCCCCACTGAGCTGTGTAACTGTTTTTCAGAAGCGACCTGGCTATCACAAATGAGAGCTCAACGAAGTGACTTGTCATCATCATCATTACGTGGACATTTACAGCAGCCAAATACTCTCAACACGTGACATTGATTCTAAATGTCGAGGGGAAAAACCGGAGGACCCGGAGAAAAATCCAGGCAACCACGGGGAGGTTCAACACGCAAACTCCAAATATACAGCGTGGGTCGTCAGGGTCGGGATCGCACCCACGACCTCCTGTAGACTATGCGAGGGAGTTAACATCTCGCCACAGAGGAGAGAGAGACACGCAGACTCCAAATATACAGCAGGCTTCGTCAGGGTCGGGATGGAATCTGCGACCTCCCGTATACCACGAGAGGTAGTCAACATCTCGCCGTGTTTGCCTGCAGGCTCCTCCGTGCCGCCGGCCTCCGCCCAGGCTGTGGCGGTGTCGCGCAGCGCTCGCTCTCGCTACGGCCTGCGCCCGCGCGAGAGGAAAGTCTACACAGAGGTGGAGGAGCCCCAGGACGACGACTTCTTCTGTGAGACCCCCTGCTCCCCCTACCTCTCTCTCACTTTCTCACAATGTCAGTTTGTCACACTCTCATACTCTTAGTTCTTTCGGTAAAGTCACGTAAGTAAAAAATGAAATAAAAATTTATAAAAATAAAATAAAAATCACGACGTTTCGGAGGCAACACAAGTCTCCGTCATCAGGTGGGACCGTCACAGCCAGATTTGGTGCATTATTTTATTATTTATTTTATTAATTTTAATTTCATTTTTTACCTACGTGACTTTACCGAAAGAACTAAGAGTATGAATCCTTGCAGTCACGAAAGCTTCAAATCTAGAATGTCACACTCTCACCCATCAGTTTGTCACACTCTCACCCATCTCTCTCTATTGCTCCCGCACTCTCACTCGATATATTCCACTTGCTCCCTCTCACTCTTGCCCCCTTTCCCTCCCTCTCACACGCTCCCTTTCTCACACTCTCACTTACCTCTCTCTCTTTTGCTCCCTCACTCAGGGATGCAGGGAGGGATGCAGGGAAGGTGACAGGGTTTACATCTCCGATGAGCGAGCTAAAGAAGTTCCCCATGCAGAGAGGGAGGGAGGGAGGCATCTGTCTGGAGCGCTCCTCACCCTCTCACTCTCTCACAGTGCCACTGCTGCTGCTGCTGTTGCTACTGCGGTTCGCCCTCCTCCCGCTGCTGCTGCTGTGGCTCTCAGTCTGCGAGCTGTGCAGGGATTTCTACCTGGGGGAGTGCTCCGTGCACGGCCCGCCAGAGTTCATCGCGGACGCGGCCGTGGCCCCGGGAGTGGCCAACAGGGCTCGGCTCAGCCTGCCCCAGGGCCTCACCGTCGGCGCCTCCTCCATCGCCGGCGCTGGCCTCGGGGTGTGGAGCAACAGGAAGAAGCTGCCCAAGGGGGTGATGTTTGGGCCCTACCAGGGAGAGGTGTCTGAGGAGAACCCCGTGAGCGAGTACTGCTGGCTGGTGAGCTGCTGCTGCTGCTGCCACTGCCACTGCTGCAGCCTCCTCCTATTCCTACATCATCATCGTGTGTGTGGAGAGGAGGCTCGTGAAGGAGATACAGAGAAACCCACAGACTCACACAGATACGCAGAGACTGGCACAGAGAGACCCAGATACTCACACAGTCACCCACAGACTCACACAGAGACCCAGAGACTTTGCACAGAGAGACCCAGAGACTCACACAGTCATCCACAGACTCACACAGAGACCCAGAGACTTTGCACAGAGAAACCCAGAGACTCGCACAGAGACCCAGAGACTCACACAGTCATCCACAGACTCACACAGAGACCCAGAGACTTTGCACAGAGAAACCCACAGACTCACAGAGAGACCCAGAGACTTTGCACAGAGACCCAGAGACTCGCATAGAGAGACCCACATACTTGCACAGAGACCTAGAGACTTGAACAGAGACCCAGAGACTCACAGTGGGACACACAGACTCACACAGAGACCCAGAGACTCGCACAGAGAGACCCAGATACTCACACATAGGCTCAGAGAATCGCACAGAGACCCACAGACTCACAGAGAGACCCAGAGACTCGCACAGAGACTCGCACAGAGACCCAGAGAATCGCACAGAGACCCACAGTCTCACACAGAGACCCAGAGACTCGCACAGAGCCTTAGAGACTTGCACAGAGACTCAGTGACTCACAGAGGGACCCACAGACTCACAGAGAGACCCAAAAAATTAACGTAATTACGAGTTAAACTTGTAACCCACAGTAGCCGCTCGCTCGCAAGGACAGAACAACTTCAATGCGCGAGGAGGAACCACAGACAAGTGGTTCTGCCTCACGCACTCCTTACACACAAATAAACCATGATACCTCGCCGCTGATCTCGTCAAGAAGCATAAACCATCATCACGCAAACTCTGTTCATGCTCACAGATACCCATAGACTCACACAGAGACACATAGACTCGCACATAGACCCATAGACTCGCACAGAAACCCATAGACTCGCACAGAGACCCATAGACTCGCACAGAGACCCATAGATTCACACACAGACCCATAGACTCGCACAGAGACCCATAGCTTCACACAGTCACCCACAGACTCACACAGAGACCCAGAGACTCGCATAGAGAGACCCAGAGACTTTGCACAGAGACCCAGAGACTCACAGTGGGACACACAGACTCACACAGAGACCCAGAGACTGGCACAGAGAGACCCAGATACTCACATAGAGGCTCAGAGAATCGCACAGAGAGACCCACAGTCTCACACAGAGACCCAGAGATTCGCACAGAGACCCAGAGCCCCACACAGTCACCCACAGACTCGCACAGAGACCCAGAGAATCGCACCGAGAGACCCACAGACTCACACAGAGACCATAGAGACTTGCACAGAGACCCAGAGACTCGCATAGAAACCCATAGACTCGTACAGAGACCTAGAGACTCACCCAAAGAATTTCAGAGAGACCCCCAGAATCACAGAGAGACCCAAAAATTTACGTAATTCTAATTTCAACTTGTAACACACAGCAAAGACGGTGGTCACCGCATGGCGTGGCGCTTACAGATGCACTTCTGCGGCCGTCTGGAAGGTTCTTCCTTCCAATGTTAGGAAGCCACTGGGAGCTATGCACTTTTAAATCTTGTAGGTTGAAAACGCATTTCTATAGAACTGATTTTGGTGTTTAGTTTGTTGTCCTTCTCCCGCACCTCCGATCAGCATGGTTGGCTAAGTACGGTGCGAAAGAAGTTCAACTTACAGTCCAACTCACGTTAATTATCCGTGGATCTGCTCGTGTGCGTGTGTGTTTCAGATTTACAAAAACAAAAAGGATCGTGAATATGTTGATGCTCAGGATGAATCTAAGTCAAACTGGATGAGGTGATTTTTGTCTTAAGGACCACAACACAGAGATCAGAACCACTACACACAGAGACCAGAACCACCACACACAGAGACCAGAACCACTACACACAGAGACCAGAACCACCACACACAGAGACCAGAACCACCACACACAGAGACCAGAACCACTACACACAGAAACCAGAACCACTGCACACAGAGACCAGAACCACTACACTCAGAGACCAGAACCACCACACACAGAGACCAGAACCACCACACACAGAGACCAGAACCACCACACACAGAGACCAGAACCACCACACACAGAGACCAGAACCACCACACACAGAGACCAGAACCACTACACTCAGAGACCAGAACCACCACACACAGAGACCAGAACCACCACACACAGAGACCAGAACCACCACACACAGAGACCAGAACCACCACACACAGAGACCAAAACCACTACACACAGAGACCAGAACCACTACACACAGAAACCAGAACCACCACACACAGAGACCAGAACCACTAAAGAGACCAGAACCACTACACACAGAGACCAACCCTGGGCCTCCCCTTGGTCGACTCGGCATCAAATGAGCACCCGGTACGGAGCGTGGTTCCAGCCACACCACCCCCACGTAGCGCCCAGTGCCGGCCCTTAATAGGCGCTCGCTAACGGCGCCCACCCCGCCCCCGCGTCTGCCCGCGCAGGTTCGTCAACTGCGCGAGGAATGAGCAGGAGCAGAACCTGGTGGCCTTCCAGCACCGGGGGCAGATTTACTACCGCACATTCCGTGCCGTGGGGCCCGGCTCTGAGCTGCTGGTCTGGTACGGCGAGGAGTTCGCCCAGGAGCTGGGCATCGCCTGCGAGGCCGGGCCCTCGCGACGCCGCAGCAGGAGCAGCAGCAACGAGATGGCTCCCAGGGCCACCGCCAGAGACCTGCAGCCCGTGCAGCCTCCACCAAGCGAGGAACACTGTGAGCACCGCTCACCAGAGACTCGCCACTGCTCACCAGACTATAGCCACCACTCACCAGAGATGATAGCCACCACTCACCAGAGATGATTAGCCACCACTCACCAGAGATTATAGCCACCACTCACCAGAGATGATAGCCACCACTCACCAGAGACGATAGCCACCACTCACCACAGATTATAGCCACCACTCACCAGAGATGATAGCCACTGCTCACCAAAGATAATAGCCACCACTCACCAGAGATGATTGCCACCACTCACCAGAGATGATAGCCACCACTCACCAGAGATGATAGCCACCACTCCCCATAGATGATAGCCACCACTCACCAGAGATGATAGCCACCACTCCCCATAGATGATAGCCACCACTCACCAGAGACGATAGCCACCACTCACCAGAGATGATAGCCACCACTCAACAGAGATGATAGCCACTGCTCACCAAAGATAATAGCCACCACTCCCCATAGATGATAGCATCCACTCACCAGAGATGATAGCCACCACTCACCAGAGATGATAGCCACCACTCACCAGAGATGATAGCCACCGCTCACCGGAGATGATAGCAACCACTCACCAGAGATGATAGCCTCGACTCATTAGAGATGATAGCAACCACTCACCAGAGATGATAGCCACTGCTCACCAAAGATAATAGCCACCACTCCCCATAGATGATAGCATCCACTCACCAGAGATGATAGCCACCACTCACCAGAGACGATAGCCACCACTCACCAGAGATGATAGCCACCACTCAACAGAGATGATAGCCACTGCTCACCAAAGATAATAGCCACCACTCCCCATAGATGATAGCCACCACTCACCAGAGATGATAGCCACCACTCACCAGAGATGATAGCCACCACTCCCCATAGATGATAGCCACCACTCACCAGAGATGATAGCCACCACTCCCCATAGATGATAGCCACCACTCACCAGAGACGATAGCCACCACTCACCAGAGATGATAGCCACCACTCAACAGAGATGATAGCCACTGCTCACCAAAGATAATAGCCACCACTCCCCATAGATGATAGCATCCACTCACCAGAGATGATAGCCACCACTCACCAGAGATGATAGCCACCACTCACCAGAGATGATAGCCACCGCTCACCGGAGATGATAGCAACCACTCACCAGAGATGATAGCCTCGACTCACTAGAGATGATAGCAACCACTCACCAGAGATGATAGCCACCACTCACCAGAGATGATAGCCTCCACTCACTAGAGATGATAGCCACCACTCACCAGAGATGATAGCCACCACTCACCAGAGATGAAAGCCATCACTCACCAGAGATGATAGCCACCGCTCACCAGAGATGATAACCACCGCTCACCAGAGATGATAGCCACCACTCACCAGAGATGATAGGCACCACTCACTAGAGATGATAGCCACCACTCACCAGAGATGATAACCACCGCTCAACAGAGAAGATAGCCACCACTCAACAGAGATGATAGCCACTGCTCACCAAAGATAATAGCCACCACTCCCCATAGATGATAGCATCCACTCACCAGAGATGATAGCCACCACTCACCAGAGATGATAGCCACCACTCAACAGAGATGATAGCCACTGCTCACCAAAGATAATAGCCACCACTCCCCATAGATGTTAGCATCCACTCACCAGAGATGATAGCCACCACTCACCAGAGACGATAGCCACCACTCACCAGAGATGATAGCCACCACTCAACAGAGATGATAGCCACTGCTCACCAAAGATAATAGCCACCACTCCCCATAGATGATAGCCACCACTCACCAGAGATGATAGCCACCACTCACCAGAGATGATAGCCACCACTCCCCATAGATGATAGCCACCACTCACCAGAGATGATAGCCACCACTCCCCATAGATGATAGCCACCACTCACCAGAGACGATAGCCACCACTCACCAGAGATGATAGCCACCACTCAACAGAGATGATAGCCACTGCTCACCAAAGATAATAGCCACCACTCCCCATAGATGATAGCATCCACTCACCAGAGATGATAGCCACCACTCACCAGAGATGATAGCCACCACTCACCAGAGATGATAGCCACCGCTCACCGGAGATGATAGCAACCACTCACCAGAGATGATAGCCTCGACTCATTAGAGATGATAGCAACCACTCACCAGAGATGATAGCCACTGCTCACCAAAGATAATAGCCACCACTCCCCATAGATGATAGCATCCACTCACCAGAGATGATAGCCACCACTCACCAGAGACGATAGCCACCACTCACCAGAGATGATAGCCACCACTCAACAGAGATGATAGCCACTGCTCACCAAAGATAATAGCCACCACTCCCCATAGATGATAGCCACCACTCACCAGAGATGATAGCCACCACTCACCAGAGATGATAGCCACCACTCCCCATAGATGATAGCCACCACTCACCAGAGATGATAGCCACCACTCCCCATAGATGATAGCCACCACTCACCAGAGACGATAGCCACCACTCACCAGAGATGATAGCCACCACTCAACAGAGATGATAGCCACTGCTCACCAAAGATAATAGCCACCACTCCCCATAGATGATAGCATCCACTCACCAGAGATGATAGCCACCACTCACCAGAGATGATAGCCACCACTCAACAGAGATGATAGCCACCGCTCACCGGAGATGATAGCAACCACTCACCAGAGATGATAGCCTCGACTCACTAGAGATGATAGCAACCACTCACCAGAGATGATAGCCACCACTCACCAGAGATGATAGCCTCCACTCACTAGAGATGATAGCCACCACTCTCCAGAGATGATAGCCACCACTCACCAGAGATGAAAGCCATCACTCACCAGAGATGATAGCCACCGCTCACCAGAGATGATAACCACCGCTCACCAGAGATGATAGCCACCACTCACCAGAGATGATAGGCACCACTCACTAGAGATGATAGCCACCACTCACCAGAGATGATAACCACCGCTCAACAGAGACGATAGCCACCACTCAACAGAGATGATAGCCACTGCTCACCAAAGATAATAGCCACCACTCCCCATAGATGATAGCATCCACTCACCAGAGATGATAGCCACCACTCACCAGAGATGATAGCCACCACTCAACAGAGATGATAGCCACTGCTCACCAAAGATAATAGCCACCACTCCCCATAGATGATAGCATCCACTCACCAGAGATGATAGCCACCACTCACCAGAGACGATAGCCACCACTCACCAGAGATGATAGCCACTGCTCACCAAAGATAATAGCCACCACTCCCCATAGATGATAGCATCCACTCACCAGAGATGATAGCCACCACTCACCAGAGACGATAGCCACCACTCAACAGAGATGATAGCCACTGCTCACCAAAGATAATAGCCACCACTCCCCATAGATGATAGCCACCACTCACCAGAGATGATAGCCACCACTCACCAGAGATGATAGCCACCACTCACCAGAGATGATAGCCACCACTCCCCATAGATGATAGCCACCACTCACCAGAGATGATAGCCACCACTCCCCATAGATGATAGCCACCACTCACCAGAGACGATAGCCACCACTCACCAGAGATGATAGCCACCACTCAACAGAGATGATAGCCACTGCTCACCAAAGATAATAGCCACCACTCCCCATAGATGATAGCATCCACTCACCAGAGATGATAGCCACCACTCACCAGAGATGATAGCCACCACTCACCAGAGATGATAGCCACCACTCACCAGCGATGATAGCCTCCACTCACCAGAGATGATAGCCACCACTCACCAGAGATGATAGCCACCACTCACCAGAGATGATAGCCACCACTCACCAGAGATGATAGCCACCACTCACCAGAGATGATAGCCACCACTCACCAGAGATGATAGGCACCACTCACTAGAGATGATAGCCACCACTCACCAGAGATGATAACCACCGCTCACCAGAGACGATAGCCACCACTCACTAGAGATGATAGCCACCACTCACCAGAGATGATAGGCACCACTCACTAGAGATGATAGCCACCACTCACCAGAGATGATAACCACCGCTCACCAGAGACGATAGCCACCACTCAACAGAGATGATAGCCACTGCTCACCAAAGATAATAGCCACCACTCCCCATAGATGATAGCATCCACTCACCAGAGATGATAGCCACCACTCACCAGAGATGATAGCCACCACTCAACAGAGATGATAGCCACTGCTCACCAAAGATAATAGCCACCACTCCCCATAGATGATAGCATCCACTCACCAGAGATGATAGCCACCACTCACCAGAGATGATAGCCACCACTCACCAGAGATGATAGCCACCACTCACCAGAGACGATAGCCACCACTCACTAGAGATGATAGCCACCACTCAACAGAGATGATAGCCACTGCTCACCAAAGATAATAGCCACCACTCCCCATAGATGATAGCATCCACTCACCAGAGATGATAGCCACCACTCACCAGAGATGATAGCCACCACTCACCAGAGATGATAGCCACCACTCACCAGATATGATAGCCACCACTCACCAGAGACGATAGCCACCACTCACCAGAGATGATAGCCACCACTCACCAGAGATGATAGCCACCACTCACCAGAGATGATAGCCACCACTCAACAGAGATGATAGCCACTGCTCACCAAAGATAATAGCCACCGCTCCCCATAGATGATAGCATCCACTCACCAGAGATGATAGCCACCACTCACCAGAGATGATAGCCACCACTCACCAGAGATGATAGCCACCACTCAACAGAGATGATAGCCACTGCTCACCAAAGATAATAGCCACCACTCCCCATAGATGATAGCATCCACTCACCAGAGATGATAGCCACCACTCACCAGAGATGATAGCCACCACTCACCAGAGATGATAGCCACCACTCACCAGAGATGATAGCCACCACTCACCAGAGATGATAGCCACCACTCACCAGAGATGATAGCCACCACTCACCAGAGATGATAGCCACCACTCACCAGAGATGATAGCCACCACTCCCCATAGATGATAGCCACCACTCACCAGAGATGATAGCCACCACTCCCCATAGATGATAGCCACCACTCACCAGAGACGATAGCCACCACTCACCAGAGATGATAGCCACCACTCAACAGAGATGATAGCCACTGCTCACCAAAGATAATAGCCACCACTCCCCATAGATGATAGCATCCACTCACCAGAGATGATAGCCACCACTCACCAGAGATGATAGCCACCACTCACCAGAGATGATAGCCACCACTCACCAGCGATGATAGCCTCCACTCACCAGAGATGATAGCCACCACTCACCAGAGATGATAGCCACCACTCACCAGAGATGATAGCCACCACTCACCAGAGATGATAGCCACCACTCACCAGAGATGATAACCACCGCTCACCAGAGACGATAGCCACCACTCACTAGAGATGATAGCCACCACTCACCAGAGATGATAGGCACCACTCACTAGAGATGATAGCCACCACTCACCAGAGATGATAACCACCGCTCACCAGAGACGATAGCCACCACTCAACAGAGATGATAGCCACTGCTCACCAAAGATAATAGCCACCACTCCCCATAGATGATAGCATCCACTCACCAGAGATGATAGCCACCACTCACCAGAGATGATAGCCACCACTCACCAGAGATGATAGCCACCGCTCACCGGAGATGATAGCAACCACTCACCAGAGATGATAGCCTCGACTCATTAGAGATGATAGCAACCACTCACCAGAGATGATAGCCACTGCTCACCAAAGATAATAGCCACCACTCCCCATAGATGATAGCATCCACTCACCAGAGATGATAGCCACCACTCACCAGAGACGATAGCCACCACTCACCAGAGATGATAGCCACCACTCAACAGAGATGATAGCCACTGCTCACCAAGATAATAGCCACCACTCCCCATAGATGATAGCCACCACTCACCAGAGATGATAGCCACCACTCACCAGAGATGATAGCCACCACTCCCCATAGATGATAGCCACCACTCACCAGAGATGATAGCCACCACTCCCCATAGATGATAGCCACCACTCACCAGAGACGATAGCCACCACTCACCAGAGATGATAGCCACCACTCAACAGAGATGATAGCCACTGCTCACCAAAGATAATAGCCACCACTCCCCATAGATGATAGCATCCACTCACCAGAGATGATAGCCACCACTCACCAGAGATGATAGCCACCACTCACCAGAGATGATAGCCACCGCTCACCGGAGATGATAGCAACCACTCACCAGAGATGATAGCCTCGACTCACTAGAGATGATAGCCACCACTCACCAGAGATGATAGCCACCACTCACCAGAGATGATAACCACCGCTCACCAGAGACGATAGCCACCACTCACTAGAGATGATAGCCACCACTCACCAGAGATGATAGGCACCACTCACTAGAGATGATAGCCACCACTCACCAGAGATGATAACCACCGCTCACCAGAGACGATAGCCACCACTCAACAGAGATGATAGCCACTGCTCACCAAAGATAATAGCCACCACTCCCCATAGATGATAGCATCCACTCACCAGAGATGATAGCCACCACTCACCAGAGATGATAGCCACCACTCAACAGAGATGATAGCCACCGCTCACCGGAGATGATAGCCACCACTCCCCATAGATGATAGCATCCACTCACCAGAGATGATAGCCACCACTCACCAGAGATGATAGCCACCACTCACCAGAGATGATAGCCACCACTCACCAGAGACGATAGCCACCACTCACTAGAGATGATAGCCACCACTCAACAGAGATGATAGCCACTGCTCACCAAAGATAATAGCCACCACTCCCCATAGATGATAGCATCCACTCACCAGAGATGATAGCCACCACTCACCAGAGATGATAGCCACCACTCACCAGAGATGATAGCCACCACTCACCAGAGATGATAGCCACCACTCACCAGAGACGATAGCCACCACTCACCAGAGATGATAGCCACCACTCACCAGAGATGATAGCCACCACTCACCAGAGATGATAGCCACCACTCAACAGAGATGATAGCCACTGCTCACCAAAGATAATAGCCACCGCTCCCCATAGATGATAGCATCCACTCAACCAGAGATGATAGCCACCACTCACCAGAGATGATAGCCACCACTCACCAGAGATGATAGCCACCACTCAACAGAGATGATAGCCACTGCTCACCAAAGATAATAGCCACCACTCCCCATAGATGATAGCATCCACTCACCAGAGATGATAGCCACCACTCACCAGAGATGATAGCCACCACTCACCAGAGATGATAGCCACCACTCACCAGAGATGATAGCCACCACTCACCAGAGATGATAGCCACCACTCACAACAGATGATAGCCACCACTCACCAGAAATGATAGCCACCACTCACCAGAGATGATAGGCACCACCCACACTGATAAGGTGCAAATGAGTAACTGGTGTGGTGTGTAGTAGTAAACATCGCCACTGGGGAGACAAAGGCGGCCATGTGTGGTGCTGGCCACCCTCCCACTCATGTGCCATGCTGGCTTTCATACAGTGAGGGAAAAAAGGATTTGATCCCCTGCTGATTTTGTACGTTTGCCCACTGGCAAAGAAATGATCAGTCTATAATTTTAATGGTAGGTTTATTTGAACCGTGAGAGACAGAATAACAACAACAAAAAATCCAGAAAAACGCATGTCAAAAATGTTATAAATTGATTTGCATTTTTTAAAATCAGCAGGGGATCAAATACTTTTTTCCCTCACTGTAGGTGCCCGATAACAGCACTTGTCCCAAAAGTATATACAGGCTATACGGGGGTTCTTCGTCTTTGTGTGTATATATAATGGAGCCCACTGCACTACGAACCCGGCCACCTGAGTTCGATTCCCACTCACGGCCAACGTCAGTGGTGAATATTTAGGCCTCCCCTAGGCTGACTCAGCCTCAAATGTGTACCTAGCTTAAACGTGGAAACATCGCCACTGGAGAGACAAAGGCGGCCGGGCCTGGTGTTGGCCACCTACTCCCTCGTGTGCCATGCCGGCCTTCATAGGTACTCGCAAACAGCACTTGCCCAACAGTCTGATATGGCTGTTGGGGACCTTTACCTTTGTATGTACACACACACGTGTGCAAGAGTGTTCATGTATCGGTGTTGGTGTGTGCGCGTGTGTCTTGTGCCTCTGGGATGACGCAGGTGGAGTGGGTGTGGAGGTGACAAGGCTGCCGTGTCCTGTCTGCAACCGTCAGTTCATCTGCCGCTCTAGTCTACAGCATCACGTGCAGAGGAAACACCCCACTAAGCCCAGTAACAAAAGTCATCAGTGTGACCAATGTTCATTCAGCACAGACTACAAGTGTAGCTTGAAGATGCACCAGAGAACACACACGGGAGAGAAGCCGTTCAAGTGCACCGTGTGTGAGAAGGCGTTTGCACATTTAGGATATCTTCATAGCCACCAGAGAACACACACGGGAGAGAAGCCGTTCAAGTGCACCGTGTGTGAGAAGGCGTTTGCACATCTATCACATTTTCACAGGCATCAGAGAACACACACAGGAGAGAAGCCGTTCAAGTGCACCGTATGTGAGAAGGCGTTTGCACAGCTATCACATCTTCACAGCCACCAGAGAACACACACAGGAGAGAAGCCGTTCAAGTGCACCGTGTGTGAGAAGGCATTTGCACATTTACAACATCTTCACAGCCACCAGAGAACACACACCGGCCAGGATGCATTTTCTCCTTCCCGTGGAAACAGAAAAGTCAGCCATCCTGAGCAAAACGTGCACTGCGCCGAGCTGTGAATTAGTTTTAAACAACAGGCCACGTGATTAGCCGAGGCTGTGCCACCCTTGAAACTGATTTTGAATGTGAACACGGAAACCTACGGATCCTCCTACACCTGCCTCACACTCTGTGGGGGGTGGGAGATTAAACCGACCCGGCCACCCCTCGATTGCAAGTGCGGAGTTCTAGGTCCCAACCACTGCACGTGTCCCCCCCCACCCCCATCACCTGGGGGTCCCTGTGTGTGTGAGTGTGCAGAGTCTCCCGTGCAGAGCTGCACTGTTGTTACCCTAGAGGGGGACACCGCAGGGCGATCCACCTACAGACACCCCAGTCTGCACGTCTCCCGCCGGTCTCCATGCGCACCGCGTGCCGTCTCGTAGCCCTGCCCCGTGCGACGTACGTACAGTACGTACAGTACATACCCATCCAGCGGTAGACTGAACCGCGGCCGATGACGAAGGTGGCATCCGCTCACAAATCTCCGTGCACTCAGTCCCGTAGCCCCGAGCCATCGCTTGCGCGATATTCACTTTGCCGCTGAGATGAAAGCTACGGGGAGGAGGTGGGGTGGGGGTGCTAGGAGAGGACATCTGTGGAACGGCTGGAGATCTGCGAAGAAGAGCTTCATAGCTCATCGGATTCCTGCGGTCTGAAAAAATATTCCGAGAGGGCGTTGGGGGAGGGGGGTGTAGGTATGATTGGGGCATCTGCACTTGGATCACCCTGCGTGTTGTTGCTGCCTCCCCCGTTGAAAATGTTCCCAGCGTGAACTTCACCCTTTGCCGTCGCGACGACGCCGCGCGCCGTGCGTGAACGTCGTCGTCGGAATAACAAAACGCAGTAAAAACTAAAGCAACATTATCGGTACCGAGGCTCCCACAGGGCCACGCGGGGCAGGGAGTGTGGCACAGTTTTCGCGCCGGCTAGCGCAGAGTGGCGGCGGTCGTGTCGCTACGCTTCTCTGCGGTGAGCAACGACGTCTTTATAACAACAACAGCAGTGCTGCTGCTGCTGCCACTGCTGCGGTGAACGGTGACAGCCACCCCGTGACCTGTGACCCCCACCCCGTGAACGGTGACACCCACCCCGTGAACGGTGACACTCACCCCGTGAACGGTGACCCCCACCCCGTGAACGGTGACACCCCATGGGTGGAAAAAACCCGATTTTTCCAGCTGCAGGCATCGGGTTTTTTCTTTAACACAATTAAACCCGATTTCGGGGAATTAAAACCTGGTTTAATGAATACGAAACTCTGATAGGCTTAGGCTGCTTCCTCGTCGGTGCTGCTATGGTACTCGGGGCCGTCGGGCACGGGGTAGTCGTAGAATGCGGCGGGCAGGTTGGTCTTAATGAACACGAGCTTCTCCACAATCGTGGGCGCCAGTGAGTTCCTTAGCTTGGAATGGATGAAGCCCATCGTTGAGAAGTGCGGTTCTGCAATTAGAACCAATGAAACCGGATTTCTCTCAATCTTAGATGATCGGGTTTAATATAAAAAGACAATTAAACCCGATTGTAAAAAACCCGACTGTGCCACCCTTGTGACACCCACCCCGTGAACGGTGACACCCACCGACCCTGCAACTCTGCAGACGTCTCGGACGCGGGAAAGGGTTGAGAGATTCTCTGCGTCGTCCCGGTTGCTCGCGTGATGTCGCACGGTGGTGGCGCGCGTTGACTCTTGCACGTTTAAGAAAGTTGAGCGTTAGTTTGTGATTCTGTTTAAAATGATATATATACATACTTAAACTAACAAACATTATCTTGGGATTCTACCAAGTAAGGTCCAACTGGATACGTAGTAGCTCTTTTATCAGACGCGACCACCTGGCCATCACAAATGAAAGCTCAACGAAGTGGCTTATCATTGTGTGGACATTTATAGCGGCCAAATACTCTGATTGCGTGATCTCGATTCTAAATGTCGAGGGAAAACCGGAGGACCTGGAGAAAATCCACACGACCACGGGGAGAGAGAGAGAGAGAGACGCGCAAACTCAAAATATACAGCAGGCGTCAGGGTCGGAATCAAACACACGATCTCCTGTATACCAGGAGAGGTAGTTAACATCTCAACATGCGTTCAGAGTATTTGGCTGCTGTAAATGTCACGTGATAAGCCACTTCGGTGCGCTGCTGTCATTTGTGATAGCCAGGTCGCTGCTACACAGCTCAGTGGGGGCCTTACCTGGAAAAGTAAAATGAATAATAAAAATCTACTGTATTCTTGGTTCTTTTGGTAAAGTCACGTAGAAGGGAAATAATAAAATAATAAAAATGTAAGAATCAAATTAACACGACGTTTCGATTGCAACACAAGCAATCATCAGTTTATGAAAACCCACAACAACAAAAACAATATTGCTGTGGTTTTCACTCCTGATGATGATTGCTTGTGTTGCAATCGAAACGTCGTGAGAATTTTATTGTTTTATTATTTCCCTTCAACGTGACTCTACCGAAAGAACCAAGAAGATGAATCCCTGCAGTCACGAAAGCTTTAAATCGAAATTTTACATCGACTTTGATTGCTTCAACCAGAAAAACTGTAATAATAACCCTAAAATGCTTCAATTGATCAAATTGAGATGCTTCCATTTATACGCTTTTTAGATATCGATTGAAGTTCGTTGTCGGCTGTTCTCTGTATGGATAATTGCCTTTGAACTTTCACATGGGGCATATTCTGCCCTGGAGGGGGTATGGTCTGGACCAGTCTAGTTTAAACCCCCGGGTATAGTTTAGCCTAGGACACTTCATCCCCCCGGGTATACTCTGGCCTGGGCCAAACTATACCCGGGTTTAATCGGGGCAGGGGTTATTGTAGCCTGTTACACCGGTATCTCCAGGAGGTCGGAGCGACTTGCTCTGTGGTGACACTTTTCCGTGACAGAGGTTTGGTTTTTGTTGTTGTTGGGTTAGAGATCTCGTAAACATCAACATTGTGTCGTTAACCCACCACCACCCACCACAATCGCCTGACACGGCCAATCAGTCAGGGTTTGTCACGTAAACGAAACGTGCCAATTGGTTACCAACTTCAGCACACACAGCGCTTGTGTGTCAGGGAGAGTGAACCCACAACAGCATTTACAATTCGAGTGCCGGTGACGTTTCGCCGGTGATTACAAACAACGGCGACCGGTTTCATCGGGCGATGTGCCAGGATTGTGATCCAACGCCATCTAACCCAGCAGCAGCAACAGCAGCGACGACGACGACAAAAACCTTCATCACAGACACCGCTGGTCGCAAGAGACTGCGCGTGGCGCTTTGTGTTGCCGTTGCCACGAATCGTCGAAGCGCGTTCACGATCTGTTGTTCTCCTGTAACGCGGTGGTCATTTCGATTTAAAGCTTCTTTCGTGACTGCAGGGATTCATCTTCTTGGTTCTTTCGGTAAAGTCACGTAGAATGGAAATAATAAAATAATAAAAATAAAACAATAAAGTAATTGTTTTATTTTTATTGTTTTATTATTTAATAATAAAATTATAAAAATAAACATTTACTTTATTATGTTATATTTTTATGGAAATAATAAAAATAATAAAAATAAAACAAGAAAGTAATTGTTTTATTTTTATTATTTTATTATTTAATATTAGAATAATAAAAATAAACATTTACTTTATTATGTTTTATTTTTATGGAAATAATAAAATTTAAACAATAAAGTCATTGTTTTATAATTATTATTTTTATTTAATAATAAAATAATAAAAATAAACATTTTATTTATGTTTTATTTTATTTATTTTATTATTTCCATTCTACGTGACTTTACCGAAAGAACCAAGAAGAGGTGGTCATTGTTGCGTTCCTGAAGAACACCGCGTTGTGGAGAAATAATATAAACTATGGGGGGTGAAGCGTGGTCCGCGACAACACGCGAGATGATGGGTGAGACAGAGGCCGGACTACGACTGAGGCGCGTGGGTAGCGTTGTGGGGGCCGTTGGCCCCCGGGGTCCCTCCCGCCTGCATCCCCTATTCCGTTTACGTTACCCCACCTCCCTATTACTCGCTACGGTTTCGCCGGCATTCGAATGCGACGCCCCTACTGTTACAGCCTCGCGCCGCGCTCCCACGCTGCGAGCATACGTGCGCACATCATCGTCAATCAAACGCCGTGCTCGCAGTATAGCCCTGTGCGGCACGTTACCAATGCGCATCCGTATCCGACATGTAACGAACGTATGCACACACACACACACGCCGCTCCGTGCACTCCAACTCCACACCAACTACGCAAGTTATGATCGCGCACCTGTATCACACACGGAGTGAACACACGCGACACCCACTCTTGCGCCACTCTGCGCAGCGCTCGCCGTCTGCTGGCCGCTTGCGTTATGATCGCGCACCTGGGGTACGCCTATTACGCACGCCGCGAGCTTACGCACACACAGTGCCACACGCGTTCCCACACGCAACCCGCGCGCTCAGCTCCGCGCAGCGCTCACTCACGTGGCGAACCACTGTGCACACAGCGCACCCACACGCTCACACTGCACGACAAGATCACGCGAGACCACGCTTCGCTATTAATGATTTATTATATGCCACCTGCGAATTGATGTTGAATCAGTGAGTCGACGAGGCTGGCCTATTCCACTAAACCTGTACCTATTCCCTATTTATCGGCTATGATTCTAATTCACCTTCTTACTCACTGTTAAGTGTCCACGGCGGTCCGCTGATCCTTGTGTTAACCGCGTGCCTCGGTGCGTCGCACGGACGTCCGGGTCGCTGGCTCGAGCTGCGTCTGGTCGCCTGGCGCTGGAGTAAGAGAGCGATTTCCCCTCTGCGCTCCTCTATTTATCCTCCCTACCTCCAAAGGGGATGCTGCGCTGAACAATGGGCTCGTGCACCCCAAGCCCGCGCACGGCAGTCCCCAGGCGCTGTTGATATGCTAATCAGTGTGCTGCGTGCAAGGCGTAAATCCTAATTAATCCCTTACCCTCCCTAACAATGGGGCCTGCGCGCTCAAGCGCAATTATCCCAACCCTCCATGACTATGCGCAACAGCCCCTGTGACCCCGCTATTCATGCTGTCTCGTGCCTCCCGTGCTTGCCCCGTCGACTCGTGGGGGTGTGTGTGGGGGGAAATGCGCCTCAACCGCGGTGGCCGAATGCCCCACGCCGCGACCACACCATATTAAGGCCGGCAGCAGCGCCGCGGTACCACGTAGCACGGGGGAGGTCATCCAATTCCCTGATCGCCGGAAACCGTGAGAATTAATCCCGATAAGGGTCTCTCGGATAAAAACCGGTCGATCAGGTAACCTTCCCTTCCAGCTCTATGGGGGGGGGGGGGGGGATGCGTGCGGGTGTGTGCTTATGTGGGGCGGGTGATGGGGGGCAGTGCGGTGGGGGAAGCCGGGCGGCTCCCTGGCTCGGCAGAGCGGCCCCGTCGCTGTGGTACCACATAGCCCCCCGGGGTGCCAGTCCCCGTCCCGGGTTGACTTGAGCACCTCGCCTGGGTTGCCCCCACGAGGTATCGCCGCGGGGTCCGCGGGATTCGCCCGGCCCTTGTGGCTGGCCTCGGGGGTGGCGGCTCCGTCTCCTGGGGCTCCGGCGGTGGTCTCCTCCTCCATTCCAACGGCTCCCCTCGGCCCCTGGCACCTGCGGGCTGGGGAACAAACTCAGAGGCGGTGGGGTTTAAGGGTCGCCGTCCTCGTCGCCCCCGGCCCCGCCCGGGGCCCCTCGGAGCCCTGGGCTCCGTGGGGCCCATATACTGCGCGAGGCCCCCGGGCACGGGGGATGCGGGTACTCCGGGATTTCGGGGCCTTCGGGTGACGGGGTTCTCTCTCGCCGGGGCCGCTTTCCACGGTTTTAAGCGGCGGACATTGACCACCGTCTCTCGACCCCTCTCCCCGCCATCAATTAGTACCGTCCAGGGGGAGATCTGTCGCACCACGGTCCAGGGTCCCCGCCAGTAGGTCGTCAGTTTCCCCACCTGCCCGGCCCCGACGCGAGGGGTGTGTAGCCACACCTTAGCACCTGTCAGGAATAAGGGGGGTTCCATGCGGGGTCGGGTGCCCTGTTCCTGCCGCCGATGCGCGGCTTCCCCTTGCGGGTATGCTCGGCCTCGGGCTTCTCGTAGGGTCTCCAACAGGTGTTCCACGGGGCGGCTTCCCTCCTCCGGCTGGGGGGAAGGGACGCCGAATAGCAGATCTGCGGGTAAACGAGACTCACGGCCGAACATCATTAAAAACGGGGTTTGTCCCGTCGACGTGTGTACGGTGGTGGCGTAGGCGAAAAGGGCGTAGGGGAGGTGTTCATCCCAATCCCGTTGATTTGCGGCCGCCATACGTTTGAGTTTCCCCGATAAGGTCTGATTCATGCGCTCCACCATCCCGTTCGCCTGGGGGTGGTACGCTGTGGTTCGGTCCTTCTGGATTCCGAACTCTCGGCACAGTGCCTGGAACAACTCGGCCTCGAACTCGCTACCCTGGTCGGTGAGGACTCGTTCTGGGATCCCGTGCTTAAGTACGTAGTGTTCCACAAATGCCCGGGCCACCACCAAGGCCGTTTTATCAGGGATGGCCACTGCCACGGGGTAGCGGGTGAAATACTCTACTGCGACTAGGATATATCGGTTGCCTCGATGGGATCGCGGGAATGGCCCCTGTAGGTCGATCCCGACCAGCTGATTCGTGCGGCTGACGCGGAACGGCCTTAGGGGTACCTGGTATCGTGCCGGTTTCGGCCCGCACTGCTGACAGGCGCGGCAGCCCTGTACCCAGGCCGCCACGTCTTGTGCCAATTTGGGCCAGAGATACTGGCGACGCAGGGTCTCTCGAGTACGTCGTTCCCCATCGTGGCCCCCGAGTGGGTGGTCATGCACCAGCCGTAGCAGCTGGGGTCGCACCTGGGCAGGAACACAGATGCACCCCGGCTGGCCGGCCTCGGTTAACTCCCGTACCACTCCGTTCTGCACACACAACCGGGCATACAAACCGCTCCAGGGTCCTGGTAGGGCGCTCTTTTCCTCCCGCAGTGCCGCCTCCACTGCCGCCAGATCCGGATCTCGCTGCTGGGTCTGTCTCAGCTGCTCGTCGTTTAGGCCCGGGAAGGCGCAGCCGACGTCCTCCTGGATCCGTCCAATCGGGTCCCGAGCCGCGGGTCCCGCGCTTGCCGGGCGGTCGACGGGATCCTCAGTGCCACCTGTGAGCGTTTCCGTGGCGCACACTGCACTCTCTCTCGCTGGGGGGGGGTCAGTGGCCGCGGCCTCTCGGGGGTCCGTTGCCTGCCGGCAGCGTCCCCCCGTGAAACACGGGCAGGCCTCCTCCGCCCTCG